TAATATATTTTTTCTTTTGGGAAGATATAAACAGTCATGAGATATCTATACCCATAATTCAGAACAATGTCACCAAATTCCCTAATACTTGTAAGTAAATTCAAGGCTACTATTACCACAAATAGTAGTGGTAATAAGAAAAGATTGCTGTATCCAAAATACTTGCCTAGAAGCAGGGACAGATATTTAAGACTTCAGTTCTCATTAATCCCAACCAAGGGGAACAATTTATGGTGATGTTGACTAAAACATCTGGAGATCACCAGATATAGATGTTTTTCACCAGAAATGAAAGAAGGAAAAGAGAAAAACATTCTAATTGAAATTCCAAAGGTAAATGTGTGAATAGACTTGTTTGCTCAAAAAAAATCTTTGAAAGGAGATTTACATGTGATTTATAAAGTAGAGTGAAGCAAAAGAAGATTGAAGTGACATTTATTTTATTTATATCGTGAAAAGTTATGTGTTAATGTGAAGATAAAGAGAATGTTAATCTAGATTAGAATTGCAACAGGGAAAAAAGGTAAAATTGATCTAATGTGTCACATTAATGGTGGTGCAGTGGTTAGAATGCAGTACTCCAGGCTACTTCTGATTGTGGTCTGACTGCAATTTGGCAGTTCGTATCTCACCAGGCTCAATGTTGACTCAGCCTGCCATCCTTCCGACGTGGGTAAAATGAAGGTCTAGACTGTTGAGGGAAATATGCTGACTCTGTAAACCACTTGGAGATAGCTGTAAAGCGGTATATAAGTGCTATTGCTTTATTAGGAATCAAATTCAAATAGGAATAACGGGAGGGAAGATGGCTGGATAGAAGAAGCTACATTAGTTATTTAATATATAAAAATTCTCTCAATCATCTATCCAGTTTCATAATTTTTAGAAGAGACTTTTGAAGATAGATAATCAGTGGGAAGAAAAATTGAAATAAAGCAAAGGTAAACATTAATTTGTTAAATGGATCAGATACATTCAGCTATGTTACCAAAGAAGCTCATTACTTACTAAGTATTAAGTTATGTAATAAATATATATTTTAATGATCGTTTTTTATGGTTTTGGTTAGGGGAATTCAAATTAGTTTACCTTTACAACATATTCTGGTTTTAAATGGTATAAGGTAAAGGTAAAGGTTCCCCTTGCACATATGTGCTAGTCGTTCTCGACTCTGTGGGGGGGGGGAGTGCTCATCTCCAGTTCAGAGCCGAAGAACCAGCGCTGTCCAAAGATGTCTCCATGGCCATATGGCCGAAGGCGCACAGAGCATTGTTACCCTCCCACCAAGGTAATCCCTATTTTTCTACTTGCATTTTTACATGCTTTCAAACTGCTAGGTTGGCAGAAGCTGGGACAATTGATGGGAGCTCACTCTATTATGTAGCGCTAGGGATTCGAACTGCTGAACTGCTGATCTTTCTGATCGACAAGCTCAGCGTCTTAGCCACTGAGCCACTGTGTCCCTTTTTTTAAAATGGTATAGGCCAGTGATGGCTAACCTTTTTCCCATCGTGTGCCAAAAGGGGGTTGTGTGCGGGTTAGGTTAGGTCATGCATGCTTTTGGCATGTGATGGACCCATTTTTTGCCCTCCCCAGGCTCCAGAGGCTTTCTAGGAGCCTGGTGAGGCCGAAAACAGCCTCCCTCAGCCTCACGGAGGCCCTCCTGAGCCTTCAGGAGGCTTCCCTGAAGCTTCCCAAGTACGAAAAACGGCTCTATGGGCAAACCGAAAGTTCATTCCCGACAAAAAATGGCTGAAAAAGAAGGCCAAAGTCAGCTGGCCAGTGTGTGCATATGCGCTGGAGCTGACAGGGCAATGCCTCGCGTACCCTAACAAATGGCTCCATGTGCCACCTGTGGCACACATGCCATAGGTTCGCCATCACAGGTATAGGCAAACATTTAAAAAAGAAATTCCATTGTTCTGAATAGATGAGTTATAGATTGAGATGTGCAAAATGTTAGAAATATTTTTGCACAGTAGTAGTTATTTTATTCCCTATGATAGGTGCATTTCTACAGGTGTTTTAGATTTAAATCACTGTAATTCCTAGGCGGCACAATAAAATGTGGGAGAAATGTAGCTCTTTCTATCTGGTAGGCTATATGTGCATACTGTGTGGACCTTTCTCCATCAGGTCTTGCAAATACGGCAGTGGTTGCTTGCAAGGTCTCTTTGCAGCCAAAGGAGTCTCTTTGCAGGTGCAGAGAAGAGTACAACTTTGAAAGAGAAAGATGGCCCTCAAAGAGAATTTCTTCCATGCAGTATCCATTCCCTTACCCTAATGAGCTTTCTGAATTACAGAGATGCTCAGCTGTTGGGGCTTTTCAAAGAAGAATCTTCCAGTATATTCTAAAAATGTTAGAATGCCAGGATATCAGACAATGGTGCTGGCAAGAATACTGCAAGATCATTTTTCTATGAAATGTTTCTAGACTGTTTTATGCAGTCATTAAAAATTATGTAATTCTAAGAAATATGAGATTAACTCTACTCTTTCAGTGTATGGCCGTGTGTCTTGTAAACCATCATTGCAGAAGATTCTTTTAAAAACTAATAGGGAAAGAATTATGCCAGCCTTAATGTATATATTAATTGACATAAGCTGCCAATTAATTTCTGACCAATAATAATAGTCTCAAAAACTGCAACCATTTGCAAAAAAATTCTTTAGCATCTTGTCCTACGTAATTCAGTCTTGTGGGATATTATTCCAGAGGGTGGCAATGCTGAATATCTTATTGTACAACCTAGACTGTTACTTGTTTTTAAACAATGGAATTCAAGTGAGTAATACTGAACTATTATGAAATTCATTTATTACAAGCAGGAAGCTTGTGGTCTTTTAAATTAGTAATGGCATAATTCGATATAATTCTAGTGTTAATCCATGTTGGGTTTGCATGTATAAGTTTCAGGTTTTGTGTTTCCATTTTCTATCTCCACCTTTCAGTATGTCTAAATGTTTACTCCCATTAATTACGCACATTTTTTAAATTCTATCAAACCCAAGGCTTAGCCTTAACTATAGATCACAGAAAAAAATCTGAATAATAAAAAATGGGTTGAAATAGATAATTCTTTTTCATTTTATTTTAAAACAGCTATTGGGTTTGTACTTGGTGTAGCATTATTGTTTTAAGGGAACCATTTTTAACCATGGAGAAGCAGCATTGAGAAATCCAAAATTGTCTCGTAGAAAACTACTAAAGTATGGCCACTATTCTCCTTTACAACTATAGACTAAACAAAGCTGTGAAAGCAAGTTATCTTAATTGTAATGTATTAGCATTTGCTCCCTTATTTATTTTAATATTTCTAAGAATTCATAAGATTGTCTATTTTTGCCTACTTTGCCTTTTATAATCAGTTTGAACAGGATGAAGAAAGCCATGCACCTATTTTTTGCAAAACATGCTACTATTTTTGGTTCAGGTAGATACCGCCATGAAAATGTGACTATTCTGGTGCTAGACCTTTGTTTATCCTTTTGATCCTTTGCTGAGATCTCATACCAATAACCTGATTTACAAGAAATGTTGCCATTATTTATAAGACAATTCTTTCTTTCAAGTATGCATTCCCTGCCAAGAGAATTTTCTACAGTTATTAAAAACTAGATCAGCAATGAAGATGCAAATCTTGGTATGGGACATCAGACCAGAATGAGAATTGCTTGCAGGTTTTCTGAAGCCGGGGTACATTAATAAGCCAGGAGCAAGTGCTTCCATTTCAGGGCTGCTTATATAACAGTGTAGAAGTAAAGAACATTAGAGCAGATTTTTCAAGGCACTGAGACAAGCAGAAAAGGCAAGTTGGATGCAAATTTTATTTAGAAATAATATATTAGAAAATGATCATCAGAAGCAGGAAATACCTAGGAAAATATTGATATTCTTTTTTAACCTTCCACTGCTCTACTTAGCATTCTTAGTGCTTCCAATTACAAACCGGATTAACAAGTTACACATTTTGTTTTAAGATCTCATAAACTGTAACTGACATAATACTGTAGACTTTATTGATGATTACAACACAACATCTGCCATTTTCTTAATATTACCTTTATACCAAGAAATTGTAAAGCCACCCAAGCAAATGTGGGACATTACTTAACAATGAATTTAAAGCAGTCTGGTTAACAATTGTGGGTTTCAGTTGATGCAACAGTGCAACAAAAATATAACATGATCCATCTCTTGACATGATGACCTTGGGTTATAATCTGTTGCCAATGTTGCGCCAGAACAGTAATGCTTGTGCAATGTTAAATTAGAATGTTAAATTGCAGATAGTGCTTACAATGTATTTTTAGGTTTTCATAGCTTGATATTTCAAGCAATGATTTTTCCTTCCAGTATTTTCTTTGTTCCATAGTAGCAAAAAAGGTCAAAGAACCAGTGACAACTTTGTAGTTTGTTACACTAATTTATTCATTCATCTTGATTACAAAGACTAGCATAAGAAACAAAACAAAAAGCAAACAACAGAAAACATCCAAGATTGATTTATTTGCATATATGGGTATATCATAGTAGAATATGCCATTCTAATGTTAGAATATACTGCTGTCAGTGCAACTCTGCTCTTCATCTGTTTCCTAACTGAATGTGACACTGCCATGGATCAGATAGTATAAAACCTTAGGCTATCTCCCAAAATCCACTAGTTGTTGACACGGCTATTTGGATTTTTTATTTTAATGCTTTCTTGAATTTATTAATAATAGCTGATTACAGGTTCTGGAGATAGTTTCATTAAAAAAGAAAAAAAAATGAAATTATATTTTCCTTTGAATAAATTTTTCAACAAAAATACACCAGCTTTTAAAAATGTTTTTCAGAATGCTTAATTTTTATAACACTGAAAAGCTACTTAGGTAAAAAAATCAATCTTACTACTTCAGTTAAATAGATTAAATATATATATTTGCTCTACTTTTGGAATCTTTTGTCACTGATATTCAAGAATGTAATAACACTAAGACTTTACTGTTTCTAGGAAAGGGGCCATGAACGATCTGTATCAGTTCCCGGATGGCTACCTTCCACTTCTTCCAGATCCATGTCCCCAGTTCCTCCTGTGATGTTCCAATCCACTCCTGGTTATATTACCAAAGCACCAGCAGCAGTTGACAAGCCTGGGAAGAGGCTGACCCCTTGGGAAGCAGCAGCTAAGTCTCCCCTTGGATTTGTGGATGATGCTTTTGGTCCCCAAACCATTCAAGAATCTATTGTTGCAAATGTCATGTCAGCGGCTCGTAGGAAAACATTATCTACACCACCTGATGACTGGAAGAGAAAGGTGGCTTATGAGCATCCAGCTCCAAGTGTCCATGCTAAATTAGCTTCACTTGGAAGGAGCTATTCAGTGGCCACATTACCTGCCAAGATCTCAATGTCTGCTCCTAGCTCCATTGGCCATTATGGTTCCCGTCTGCAGCCTGCATATTGTAGCCAACGTGCCCAAACTGATCCTGGTATGATTTCCATGGAATCCAGGTCTGATTACTGTCTATCAATGTCTGACTCCAATTATAATCCACATCCAAAGGGATGGAGGCATCAAACATGAAAAGCAAATGAGTCTGCTGTAGTTTCCTTCCTTGAAGGTCTAGAATGAGAATCAGAAGTGTGAAGAAGAAGTGTTTTCTGGCCTGGTAAAATCAAGATTTATCTAGAATGGGACCCAGTGCTAATGATTTGTCAGTATTATAAAAGACGTTGATCCCAGATTTTCTTTGCCGTGTGTGTGTGTGTGTGTGTGTGTGTATGTGTGTGTGTCCTTGAGAGAAACATGCATAATAGACATACAGTGGGATGAAATCTAGTTTATATAAAAGCAAATCACAACATGGTGTTTTAATGTACTTCCATGTGTGAAATTTTAAACTGGGAAAGTTATAATTGTGCAATATCAACACCTGTGAGTTATCCAATTAATCATGATAAAAATGTAATCTTAGAGGACATGAAAACAGTTATTTCCTTTTGTTTCTTATGCCAACCTACTTATGGTTAACTAAGTGTCTATTTGTACCACTGGCTATGTTGTGATATGTTGTGTTTTGGTCTTTGTTATTGGCTATGCAAATAGGGAAACATACTGTAATAGGGCCTAAAGTTTCATTAGGCTGATACTTCAAAGTTTTCTAGCTCAAGAAACACACTTCAGTGGATGAACACAGATTTTGCTTTCAGAAGGTCCTAGATCAATTCTTAGCATTTCTGGTTAAAAACCTTACATAGCAGTGGAAGGGAAAGTCTTCTTGCTGAGTTTCTGGAAAGAAGCTGGCATCTGAATAGACAATCTTACCTTCTTGAGGCATCTACAAACTCATGTTATGCTCATTCATTCCAAGTTGTTTTTGCTTATATTGCCAGCTTGGGGAAACACATCAGCACAAATGTCCTCAGCGTCAGAACATCATTTTTATGACTAGAGATATAGCAACAAAAGTGCAATTAGAAATGCATATAGCAGATGACAAGAAATGGAAAGACACTATATTTCCGTAACTCAGTTTGTGATGTAAATCAGTCTTTGGAGCATGCGTAAATCAGAATCAGAATAGAGCTGGAAGGGACTTTGGAGGTCTTCTAATCCACCCCCCTTCTCAAGCAGGAGATCCTATACCATTTCAGATAGGTGGCTGTCCGGTCTTTTCTTAAAAACCTCCAGTGATGAAGCACCTATAACTTCTGAAGGCAAACTGTCAGGTGAATTGTCCTCACTGTTATGAAACTTCTCCTTAATTCCACATTGCTTCTTTCCTTGATTAGCTTCCATCCATGATTTCTTGACTTGCCCTCTGGGGTTTGGAAAATAAATTAACTCCCTCCTCTTTGTGGCAGTCTCTAAAATACTGGAATACTGCTATCATGTCCCTCCTAGTCTAACACAAGTGTATTATATAAATATAAGTGGACAACTTGTATCTTCCAGAGAGCGATTCCAGCTTCTCTCACACTGGTCACGCTAGATGCTGTGAATTATAAATCATCAACTGCTGTAGGATCACAGTTATTTTATCCCTGCCTTGGAATATATTATTACTGATTGCACTCTGACTGCAGTACAATATACTACAATCCCTGGAAATTTAAATCCATTTCATTTGCTTCTTTGTTTTAGACTTTAGCTATGCTGTTTTTAATTTCTTTCTAAAAAATCTAATTAGACATTTCAAGAGCAAATAAAATATGAAGAGATTTTCAAAGGTTAACAAAAAAGATTCTAATATATTCACTATTTCCTAAATAAGAGAGAGAGAAATGATTTTTTTTAAAGTCGTCGACTTACAACAGGTCACTTAGTGACCATTCACTACGACGGCACTGATCATTTCTCACATGACCATTGTAGCATCCCCATGATCACAAGAGTTACATTCAGATGCTTGACAACTGACTCCTATTTATGATGATTGCACTGTCCTGAAGTCATGTGAATCCCTTTTGTGACTTTCTGACAAGCAAAGTCAATGGGAAACCAGATTTACTTAACAACAATGTTAATAATTTAACAACTGCAGCAATTCACTTAACAAATGTGACAAGGAAAGTCATAAAATGGGTCAAAGCTCACTTAACAAATTTCTAACTTAACAACATAATTTTTGGGCTCAATTGTGGTCGTAAGTGTGAGAACTACCTGTATTGGGTCTTCATTTCTGCTGCTAGAATCTCATGAATGTTAACTCAGGAGCAAATACCATCAAATTCAATGGTACTTTCTAGTAAGGATTAAAGCTACAGCTTATCTTCATACTGTCTGGTATAATTCATTCCTTTCTAAAGAGCAATACAACTTTTCTAAAAGAAGAAAATTTATATTATTGTAAATTGGTTATGCAGCTTATATTTTGGTGCCCACATCACTCTTTTTTTCTAGCTCAGTATCTGAAATACTGTTTCAGGAAATATATTGGCCTTTTAAACTTTAAAAGTAAAGTTTAAAAGATATTGACTTTTTAAACTTTTACTGAATTGGCTAGACAAGCATGCCGGGCACCTGAAAAACATTATTCTCATAACCAGCACAAAGAAAGATGAAGCATCAGAAGAAAAGCCATTCAGGATGTAGATATAAACAAGTTACATGCCTCAGTGTATAAATAAAGTAAAGGTCCTATGTAGGAAAACAAAACAGAATTTTTCCTAGCTAAGAGTTTTCCACCAGCTTCTGCATGAAGAACCCCAGTTACCATAAATGGGTTGCAAGCCACAGTTTGACAAATATATGAAAAGGGCTCTTTATCCTGACTAATCAAAATTCTGTCACCATATCAATCCTGAGAGCAACTGCTTTTGGCCTCCAGGCAATCTTGGGAAACCTTAGGTATACAATATAGAATGTGACAGAATGTCATCCAGGATGTATGGGACTCTCCAAATCCTTCCCTGGAACCTCTTTATATATTCATAACTGAATACACAAAGAAGGATTTTTGTTTGAAGAAAAATATGCAGTTCAGAATACAGCAATTTCCTTTATTATGGTAAGATATACCATTTAACTTTGTAAGCCACCCAGAGATATGGCAATGAGATGGACAGCGATATAAATGTAGTAAATAAATAAATAATAAACAAGACCTCACCTTATTCAGAAAAGTAAATAAAAATGTTCTTTTTCATGAAATCAACTGAGTTTAAAAACATTTTGCAATGCTTTTAGGGCTAAACTATTGTGACACAGTTTCATTTTAATAGCAGAAAAAGAGAAATGTTCAAGTGTAAACATGGTAGGCTATTTTCAGAATACCACCTGTTTAAGAATGGTATGGAAGATTTGCTATATGAAGAAATTATGTGTAGTCATATGGAGGGTATGACCTGAGGATGTCTTAGTAGGTAATGTAAGCAGAAAGCAATGGTATGGATTTCAGTAAAATGAATAGGAGACATATGTTGCAATACTTATGAAATATGCAAGTCCTTTGGTGACTAGGGAAGTTGCAGGCTTTTTGTGAAATACTTATGTTGTAATGCAGTGAATCACATTGTCCTGGGTCACTACTACTGTAGATCAGTGTTTGTCATATGCCTGATTTTTTTTAATGAGTAGAGCTATAGAGCAAGAATGATTTACTTTATAGGAAATGTGGTTTTGGATAAAAGTAAGTGTTCTGTGGTTGGAGGGTAGCTTAAAGAAACTCACTAGAAAAGCATATATAATTTACAGATTAGTTTAAGCAAAAGATTTGGTTTTAGCCATCTGAGTCTCTTTGATATCACGGAAATCATTTTTAAGTGACAATGTGATCCCTAGAATTCAGATAATTTTTCATAATCAGAAGTTAACACAGAATTTGTGGGATATGTATATCCTAGAGTTTCCAGAAATTTTAAGTTGTTTTAATCTGTAATTCTACTTTTACCATGTAAGTGTTGTATTACTTTTTTATTGACCTCACTGGAATGTCATCAGGTCTAATTGCAATGTTTTGCTTTCCTCTTGGCTCCAATTAATCCTTTTCTGAAAATAAACATATTCCTAGATGTAGCTTTGATGGTTCAAAGCATAAAATGATATCTGATCTCAACATAGCTTACTATGTTTTCTGGTTTGAAGGAAGATTATTATTTTTTTTCTTCATCAAAGGCACATGCCAAAGAATAATAGGTGATGTGGTTTACCTTTCCTAAACTCTCAATTTCTTATTCTTGCTAGGAATTAAAGGATCAATGTAGCCTTGGGTTCTGGAATGAGTTTCCTGTTGTGCCTTAAAGGAACACAATGGTGGTTTTATATTTGTTTGCATATGTATTTGATTATTAGAGAATATCAGAACAATAATTGTGGTTGTTGAAATTTTAAGCCTACGATGACTATAACAGCCAAAGAATGTCATGAGGATTGAGTGTTTCTCAATATCATGTGACAGGATGAAATTGAGGTTTTGCTTCATTTATTCTAATGAAACTACTCTGATTATTCTGAGATTTGATTGAAATGGTTCTTCTCTAAGACCGGGATGTCCAAAGGTGACAACTTTGAGACTTGTGGACTTCAACTCCCAGAATTCCCCAGCCAGCCATGAAGTCCACAAGCCTTATCAGTTGTCAAGTTTGGAAAACCCTGCTCTAAAGAGAGAACTAGTGGTATTCTAAGAAGTTAGCCCGACTATTGTCACTATGCTGTGACAATAACCCTTATTAAGACAAACTAAAATCTTTAAAGTTCAAAAAAAAAAAAATTCTGGCTGCAGACTAGTGCATTTTTTCATGGCAGTTTTATTTAAAGTTAAAAGAATAAAAATGAAGATCCAAAGAAGATGACAGTACTAAAACAATATGTAGAAATATGTAGAAATGTATGTAATTATATGAGCCCATATATAGAACTAAATAAACTAAAGAGCTGCGGTAGAGCAGTGGTTAGAATGCACTACTTCTGCTGATCACTGGCTGCCAGCAGTTTGGCAGTTCAATTCTCACTGGCTCAAAGTTAACTCAGCCTTCATCCTTCCGAGGTCAGCAAAATGAGGACCCAGATTGTTGGGGGCAATATGCTGACTCTATAAACTGCTTAGAGAGGGCTGTAAAGCACTTTGAAGTGATATATAAGTCTAAGTGCTGTTGCTAGATTGCAGTTCTCAGTGTAATATAATTCCATGAGGAGGGATATATATATATCCCTCCTCATGGAATTATACATACATACATACATACATACATACATACATACATACGCAGGTCTTGGCATATTTGGATCTTTTCCCGTGTAAAATTGAGAGTATCTTGGCAACATTTCGATGAGGTCCCACTCGCCATCTTCAGGCTGGTGCTTTCGGCTTCATGCAGACTGCAAACATCAACTCCATCAACTAATTAAGATGTTACAACACAGCCAACCAATCCGCTTACAGCAACAAAGCCAGCACTCCACACCCCCACCAATATTTATAGAAAGACAACAGCTCTGATCATGCTTTGCTTGCACAAGCACGAAGCCGAAGGCCCCAGCCTGAAGATGGTGAGTGGGACCTCATTGAAACATCGCCAAGATACTCTCAATCTTACACAGGAAAAGACTCAAATATGCCAAGACCTGCATACCTGTACCCATGAAAATATATATATTATATGGTGGGTTTCAAAAAATTTTGGAACCTCTTCTGTAGGTGTGGCCTGCTTTCCTGGTCCACTGGTGGAACCTCTTCTAACCGGTTGACGACGAACCAGTTCTACCGAACCAGTTCTACCGAATAGGTGCGAACTGGTAGGAACCCACCTCTGATATATTTTTATATCCTATAAAAATCCTACTTTTCATATTGATAGATTCTTACCACTATTCCAATGCTGGTTTGAGTGTTAATACAGTTCCATTGGCTTTAGAAAAATATTTCTTAGTTTCTTACTAGGTACTTCTATCAGAAACAGGAAACAGTGTGGATTTTTCTTCATATAAGCAAAAGGTAAATTTTCTCTGCTTCTGAAAATATGAACAAATGAGATGTAAAAAACAGTTGTTTAGCCTCTATCCATTCTACTTTTGTACAGATTGAATATTATCTGTGCCAGTCCTCCTGTTAAGAAAAAAAGTAGTATTTTGAGATTTGTATTGATTTTATTCCTAAAAGGTGTGGCATTTGTATAGCATACAAGCAAAAATA